GAATACAGTTTCCGTGTAATTATTTCAGGGGTAAAGCTAGCTGGGAGGCGGGCGGCAGGAAGCGGCCCACAGCTCCTTTTACAGGGCTTTATTTGTATAAGGACCTAAATGACAAAGTCGGGTCAATAACACAGACTTGAGACAGAAGAGGGTTGATCATTTAGAGTAGGACATGCCCAGAAATACCTTTCTGTGTAACATTGTCACTAACCCCCAAAGTAGCGGCAGGGGAGTAAAAAGCCTACGGGGTAGTAAAATGACCAGAAGTACCTGCTATGTGCCTGACTCTTTTCCTCACAGCGTCTCATTTAGAGAGACTGGAGGAGTCAGGCCTGTGGAATGAAGTTAAGCCATTGGAGGCATGACCTTCGAGGGACAAGGGAATTCCCATCCCTTTTCCCCTCCCCCTTGCCTGCAGCCCTGAGTGGAGTGGCTTTGCTCTACTGTGTGATTCCCCAATGATGGTCTACCTGGCCACTGACCTGAGGTCACCTGAGCTGGCCAGCCTGAAGCTGTGATCCCGAACCAGCGTGTCCTCCTTATGGTTCACGTAACCCAAGTGTTTCCTTCAGTAACAGGGCACTGACTGACACAGCATTCCATGTGAAATCTTGAGGTTGCCACAAGCAAGTTTTGAAAAGATGATTCATTGGAGGGGGTGTAGGGGAGGAAATGGAAGGGGGAAACAATTTCATTATATTATAATTTCAAAAAAAAACTGGTATAAAAAAGAAAAACAAAACCTTTAGTGATTATAACTGTATGTTTTACAGTAAATGTAGGTACATGTGGTTGTTTGACTTCTTAATTATATGAATTTAAAAATAAACTAAAGACTCCTTTCAGGAATTAAAATAATTAATTAATTAATTAAAGTGAAGGCCTTTGTCAGGAATGACATGGAGGTTGGGTACAGGACCAAATCCCGGTAGGATCCAAGCTCTGCCCACGTGGCCATCCTCCTGCATGTGTGGTCTGCAGCTATAGATGAGCAAACCGTGCCCATCTCCGTGGGTTTTCTAACCCCCAGCGCAGCCTTTGTTACCTCCATGAAGTTCTGGGTTCAAAGAACTATGTGTGTCGAGGGTGAGCAGAAGGAGAACAAGGTTCTGGTCGACCCAGTAAGTAGGGCCAAGAAAGTAGGCAGCAGTCCTTGTGGAAAGCTGCCGCAGGCTCCCTGTGAGAACAGCGCCCCAGCGTTGCGTTGAGTCTGGAGGGCTGGCAGTTGTCAGGTCTCAGTTTCCCCGCAGTCCTGCAGGTACTGGCCACTGTCTGTTGCAGCCCACTGGTTGAACACATGTTCTCAGCAATAAGGCATCCGTGTCTTCCCCCTGGACCTTTGCTCTGTCTTCTGTCACAAAGATTTTCCAGTAGCCATTGCCAAAAGGAAATCCAGGAAGAGGAGAAAGCAATTAGGAAGAAGTCCTAACTGCAGTGGTTAGGTAAAGAGAATTTCATTAATTTCTCCTGGCTTCCCTGGGGTCCCCCTGCTCACTAGCTTTCGCCTGCCATCCTGCTACTGAGTCCCAAGAGGATAGGGAGTGCTCCCTCCATTTGTATTGTGTGGTACATAGCCATGGTCCATGCCTCCTTGGAGTTGACCCAGCCCTGTTGGGCACCCACACTCTGGACAGGACCCTTCCTGGAGAGGACGCTGCCCTTATATAAACTGTGTTATCAAGATTGGGGTCTTTCTAGAAGTGGGCAAACTGAGGGTCCCCTAGCTACTAGCAGCCCTGGAGAGTCACAGAAGCTGTCCAGCAGGAATCATGAACCTACGAACAATATTATGGGGGCATAGGGAGATCTTCAGTCTCTAAAGTGCTTTTTTATAAGTGTGAGGACCTATGAGCACCCCCAAAACCTGTGTAAAAGATCTGAGTGCTGCGCACATCCTTGTAACCCCTGAGCTGGAGAGGTAGAAGTAGGTCTATCTCTGGGTCTCACTAGTCAGCAGCCTGGGCTAATTCAGGAACCCCAGGCCCCAGTGAGAGATCCTATCTCAGAAGTGAGGTAATTAAGATGAGGGATGACGGCCATGATTGTCCTTTAACCTCCACATCACTCAAACACATGTGCAGCTGGCTACACATAGTCTCACATGTTATGACACTTTTGTAACCAAAATTGTGTTACAGATGACAGCATTAGACTTCAGTGTCTAAACCTTGGCTACATATGCAGCTGTGAGGCCCCCCTTGTCTGGTGTATATGTACAGACATTAGATCCTTGTCACCCCCAACACAACACTCACACCCAGTTATCTCAGAGAAGGTCCTAATTTGGCTGTGACGGAAACATGAAGTCACCAGGGTAGTAGCCCCAGGTGAGGATTCCCAAGATGAGTCATGGTGCGGCAATGGGAAAGAGCCTGAGGTTTGGAAAGAAAACACATCTTACATCTGACCCAGGTTATGTTTCTGGACTTGGAAGCAAACATGCATTCACATTAGAAACACAGAACCACACTGGCATTGGCTGTCTCTGGCGCACAGTCCAGGTATGTCTGTGTGTGCATTGACAGGGTCCATGAACTAAGGTCTGCAGAGCGCACATGGCCCCTCTGGCGCCTGCGGAGATGTCCTGTTACCCTCATGTGATTACGGGGCAGAGTATATGGTTCAGGCTGTGGAGGGAGCAGGGCTAACATCACACTGGAGCCTACATTTAGAGGAGCATTGAACTTGCATCAAGGTACTGCAAAGGACGTGGCTAAAGATCCCAGATGCAAAGCAATTGCGTGATCTTGGGCCTGTCCCTTTATCCTTCTGATCCCCGGTTGCTTTGTCAATCTAGGTGCTGGACCTCAGCTGGAAAAGAAGCCAGAAACCCACAATTACTGTGTTTTGAAACTTTGTTCAGAGCCTTGTAGCTGATTCTGAGGACAATCAGATGTCTATGCATGGGTGAGCACTAAGATCTACGCACACTCTTTTCTGAAGTCCTATTTATTTCCTTCGGCATTTGTTAAAATCCATGCGACTGCTGTTATCTGGTCCATGATACAGTCATGCATGTTTTAATTTGGAACTAACATTTTAAATTTGTTATTGTCTAGTAAAATTGATGATTCGGGGATATACGTCAAGTTCAATTTGTCCAGAACTCACGGTTTTGTGCTGTTGATGGATACACTCAGCTCACTCTGTGAATCTCAGGACTGGCTTGGCAATGGTCTTACTCTTCAATGCTGCTGGCACCTGACAACAGTTTTCCAGGCATCTTCATCTGAGAGCCCTGATCCTGTGAGAAATGAATTCCTTGCTCACTGTGTGAGTTAGGGGACCACTAAGACTGCGGGACCACTCACATCAGCCTCTGCTCTGGGTTACTCTGGAAAAGACGCAGTGGTGGAAACTCTGTCCTGTTTCTCCCATATGCTCTGAAGGACCCCCTGAAAGCCCAACCAGTGCAAACTATAGTCTGTGTTTCCCCATGCCAGGCCCACCATCCAGAAACTTTGTCCTTGTATATTTGAGATCTCTTTCAGGGCCTGGAGAGATGGCTCGGTTGGTAAAGGATGCTTGCTACACACACAGGAGGGTTCTGAGCTTAAATTTCCAGAAACCTCGTAAATGTTGAGGAGGAATGTAGTGGTGCTCCCATATTCCCAGCACCCAAGAGGGATAGATAGGGACTCCCAAAGGCAAGCTGACTGTCTCTGCTAGCTGAATCAGTGAGCTTTGGGGTAAATACTGCAGAGAGTGGTTGAGGAAGACACTCATGATCAACCTGTGGGCTCCACATGTACACACACAGACACATGTGCCTACCACAGTATACACACACACACACACACACACACACACACACACACACACACACACAAAACAAAGTGCCTCTTCCTTCTCTCACATGATTGACCTGAGAATAGGATTTGAATTAAACCATTCTCACTGGAATGTCGATGACTGATACAGGATGCTCAGATGCATGTGAGCATGTGTTTCATCTCAAGAGGATGGCGCTAACTGGTCCCACCCCCACAAAAATGACTTAAAGGTAGAATTTCAGACATGAGCATTCTTCAGAGGTGAGAGGATCATTTACAGCTAAAGTGGGTTTTCTGGGCTCCCTCTAATGACAAGCTTCCTCTTGTAGCCGGCAACGTGTTCCTGATTTCTCAGCAACAGAGTCTTTGGGTATTGAAAAGCATACAGTTAAAAAAAATCAAGCCACCAAATAAGCAAGCAAAAACCTCCAAGTGTCACTAGAATTCCTACTTGTGTTGCACAAACTCATAGAGATGAACTGAGGAGGCTTCCGTCGAGCTCGGCAGATAAACCAAGAGGATGGTGGTCTAGAATGTCAGGCTAGGTTCTAGCAAGAACAAAACAAAGACGGGAGTGAATTGCAACCAAGAGGAACCTGAGTCCACAGGACAAGCCTGGAGTGTTCCAGAAATACATTGGATCCAAAAAACAGGGGGAGAAAAAAAGAGAGGAAGGAGGAGAAAAGTGACCAGAGTGTCTCCTGGAGGAGGAGCGAGCGCTAATAGGACCCTGAGTCCTCTAACGGGGACACCTGTCAGAAAGGCATGTGTGAAGGGCCGCATCCACATTCTCCATTACAGGATGGCGCTGGCATCCGGTTTCACCGCCAGGTGAACAAGATAATGCGCATGTAATTGGTAATTTTCCACTGCTGCATCCCCGCCTACTCCCGAGGCGTCATCTGGGTTGATGGGCAGCAGACCAATCCAGGAGTGACACGTCCAAAGCAAAGACTGTTTTCTATATAAGGGATGGGTTCCCCTCATTCTGGGTCTCCGCTTTGGAAGCTTATGCTCTCTCTCTCAAGACGCATTAAAGCTTTTCTGCAGAAGGATCCTAAGTGTCCCGCGTGGTTCTTGCTGGCGAGACGATAGCGTGGGACAGGCATGCTTCCATTTTCCCAGACTCCTATGAACCAGTGGGCAGCCCATGGTCTCATCGGAAAACATTTCAAAGGCATGGGCAACGGGAGAAAACAGATTCTCAGGAATTTAGGCTGAGATTCAACAGAAAGGGAGCCTACCCCACCCACCCATCCTATGGGATCAGGTCACCTCTTATCTGGACAGACCAACAAGCAAAAGAAACAAACAAATAGATATAACTGCTTTCTCATCCCTGAAAGAATCAGTTTGTACTGCAGGAAGCAGGTGAAGCGGACCCACGAAGCTCACTGTCATGAAGCCACCTTCCTCGAGTTGTTAACATGGAAACAGAACAGGTCCCCAAGTGCTGAGCTTACTGGAAAGGTGATGCTTGCAGGACAAGAAAGGCAGCCAGTCAGCAGTCCAACCCAGAGCATCCAGAGACACTAGAATGAGATGGGTGGAACATTACGAAACGGGGATACTGTCTTTCTTTCTCTGGATGGGTAGGATGGGCAGCAGGGTACGGCAGAGCAGGTTTAAAACGTCATGGTCCCTGCTTTGTCTCCATAGAAAATCGTGTAGGGTCTTTCCATAGGATGCCCGGCCCAAGGGGCTCACGTACCTGCAGATGTAATGCAGGGGCTCAAGCGCAGGCTTGAGCTTTGTGACCAGCGTGATGGGCAGTGTGGGAGAGAATGAAGGGCTGAGCTGCGTGGATGCCAGTGGTGGAGTGGAGAAGTGGGAATGGGAGGTAGAGGGTCGGTGACGAATGTGTCGTTCACAACGTCATTTCTCTAGGTAAACACTCATCTGTCACTCCAACAGTTTCTGACAGTAGTTAACACGTGCTGTTACAAAAGCCAGAAGTGAAAACCCAGTTTAAGAAGCAGGTCCAACCCTTGCATGGACTGCCATTCAATGAGATGCTTCTGGCTTCCGCCTGAGGGCAGGCAGCCAGTCTTTGCCTCCTTATTTTTTGAAGCTTATGGAAATAGGCTCTTGTGAGGTGATGACATGTTAACATGACAGATGAAAATTTGTTTGGGTTGGTGGACTGAGACTCGTAGAATAGCCCTTAAACTGATCTCTGGGATGGCACATAGTGCCCATATTGAAAGATTTCTGTTGTCTCTAATGTCTTCTGTGATGAGTCTGGTCCAGGATAGTTTGGATGACTGCCCTAATTATGAAAAGATAATTGTGCCAAGATGGGTTATCCTGTTTTAAACTATCTACCACACCCACCCAAGTCAGATAAGAGCCCCACACCAAGTCTAGATTGTTCACCAGCTATGAGTAGATGGAACTGGAAAACACAATTGGGAGTCTGATGGAGCAATTCTGATATCAAGTCATTTATAACTGAATGTAAGCAAAGATTTATGCAAAAAAAAATACAGCAGGGCCTGGAAAAGGGGCACAGATGTGGTGAGAAGCTGGAATCAGTTAGCCATAATCCACCCTCATCTCTGCCTTTCAAAAGATGTAGGAGCCAAAACAGAAAAAGTATTTGACCAAATGGATACACACACAGTAAGTCCCATGTATGTGTCTGTGACTTCTCATAATATATGAATTACTATGTATCCATGAAAGGTAACAAAGCACGGGTCCCTGATCCAACAGAGTGAACCTTGGTGAAAGCGAAAACAGGTCATGTATTATAGCATTCCACCCATTAACAATGTCTACTGTGGATAGTTCTGTGGAGACAGAAAGTAGATCTCAGTTGTCCAGCCAGGGACAGGAGAGATGGTTGTGACCGTGAACAGGGAGAGTTCCTTTGGAGTGCCACAATCTTCGACAGTGGTGATGGTTATAGAACCTTAACACACTAAAACCTGCACACTGTTCAGTTCAGTGAGTAGATTTTTACCTTATATGAGCTTTGTTTCAACCTTAAAAATACAATGTAGATTTTTTCCCCCCTCTTTGCCAGCAGGTATCAGTTGCAGGTAGGTTTTTGGTTAGGGGCAAAAAAAAAGCAGCTTCAAAATAGTTTATATGAAAAAAAGATCTTTTAAATGAAGAAATAGAAAAAGACCAAAAATATATGTTTTTAGGAAGGTGACCTGAGTAGGGTAGCTGGCTATGGGGTGAGGGCTTCTCACCTGGGGTGCTCCCCCACTCACAGGTGTGCTGTCAGAATCACATGTAATACAGCAGCGCTAGAATTACAAAGGGGTTTAATTACAGTAACATGCAGCTACCAAATTATTTTTAAACCAAACTGATAATATGGTAATACATTTACTTCTGGAATAGCATGCTAAGTAGCAAGCACTAGCCGCCAAGTGAGGATTAGACCACCTCAGAGCTGCCGCCAGGGCAGGTGAGTGACTGCCGGGACCAGCTCCACAGATGCTGCCCACCGTAGCTCCTTACTGGGATCCACAGCTGAAAGAAAGGATGCATGCATTTCAGTTATGTTCATGAAGACAGAAAACATACCACAAACCCTTAGATACTGTATGTAGAGCATTTTGAGAATTCGGGTTAGGAACCCTCCATTCAGGCCTGAGGAGATGGCACACAAGGCTCAGGCACCAAATTCGGTGCCTAGAACCCAGGTGAAAAGCCAGGTGTGTATGCATATACCTGTAACGCCAGCACCGGGGAAGCAAGAGTGGGGAAATCTCTGGGGCTCTGGGGCCAGCCGGCCTAGCCTAGCAAGAGTTAAAGTCCAATGAGAAACCTGGTCTCTAAGAACAAGATGGATGGCCCCTGAAGAGAAATATCCAAGGTTAACCTCCAGCCTCCACCCCAACCTCCAAAAACACAAAGAATTCTTAAGCTGAACCTTTTGGGACGGTCTATGGTGAAAACACAAAGGATTTAACATCTTTTTTATTGTTTTTCTTTATCTCCCCCCCACTCCGTCTCCCCTTCTACTCTCTCCTGTGACCCCCCACACTCCCAATTTACTCAGGACATCTTGTCTTTTTCATCTTCCTATGTAGATCCATGTATGCCGCTCTTAGCTTCCTCTTTGTTGTCTAGGTTCTCTGGAGTTGTGAATTGTAGACTGATTTTTCTTTGCCACTTATGAGTGAGTACATATGATGTTTGTCTTTCTGGGTCCGGGTTCCATCTTACACCTGTCAGAACGACCAAGCTCAAAAACACTGATGACAGCTTATGCTGGAGAGCATGTGCCATAAGAACACTCCTCTGCTGCTAGTGGAAGTGCAAACTTGTACAACCACTTTGGAAATAAGTATGGTGATTTCTCAGAAAATTAGGAAACAATCTACCTCAAGACACAGCAATATTGTTGTTGGGTATATATCCAAAAGATGCTCAATCATACCACAAGGACATGTGCTCAGCTATGTTCATAGCAGCATTATTTGTAATAGCCAGAACCTGGAAACAACCTAGGTGCCCCTCAACCAAAGAACAGATAAAGAAAATGTGGTTCATTTACACATGGAGTACTACACAGCTGTAAAAAATAATGACATCTTGAAATTTGCAGGCAAATGGATGGAGTTACAGAAAGCTATTTTGAGTGAGGATTTAACACCCCAATGTTTTGTTATTGCTCCAGTTACAATACTCTCCAAACCCAACAGTCAATGAGTAAGAAAGTAAGGTCAAGTTCAGTTCTTGTCATTCAGTGGGGCACAGACAACAGCCCTGCTCTTGGTAATCAGACAAGTCTCTTAGCTACA